TGCTTCACCCGTTTCCTTTTCCGCCTTTTTTTGAATATGAATAGCACAAATCTGAATGGTAAGAAAAGGGTGAGACGGGCATCAGATTAGGGACAACATATGCATACTACGTGAGTGGATTTGCAGTGCAACATGAGATTGCTTACCCAAAATAACCGATATTTTTGACCAATGCACTGAAGCACAAAAAAGAAAAACCATTTCACAAAAGCGGCAGAACAAAAAGGCACAGCACAAAATAAACAAACAGTTCATTAACAACTACAAAAATACAATATAATAGCAACAATAATTCAGAAGAAACGAGTATCATTTGAAAGCGCCAAGCAGATCCTGTACTCCTCCTTCGATACTGAGCCATATAAGCGCTGTGGTAATACTCTTGATCCACGTGTAGGTCGACGAGCAAAACAACGCACTACATACTGCCTCCTACAGTTGATGTTGCATTTGAATAAATATTAGAGCACACCGTGAGCCCGCCGCGAATATCCACTTTTTGCACATTTCTACTCAGCAAATATTTGTTATTGAGCGGCTCGAAGGACCACTCAGTTCGAAAATACTCTCAGAGCTTTCTCACCCCTTAATTCGTTCTGCACTTTCGGGAATCAGAATTGACAGAAAGGCTGATAATTTTGAAACTACACCTCCCAGAAGGCTAAAGTATCTAAATCTGGGGAATATACGCATAGATTTTGAATCCCAATACTTTTTTTTCAGATTTTTAAAAAAAATTTTTTTTTTGCTGGAATGAAATCGCTATTCTTCCAGTTAAAAACTTAGGGCTGCAAAAAAAACAAAAAACTGTCTTTTGAATTCACCTATATTTTCCAATTAGAGAAACCATTTGTATGAATAAACAAAAAATTTGAAAATATATCTTAGAGGGCGGCTTACCTCCGATATGGCATATCTTCGTCACCAACAAGAACCTCTTCAAGCGTCCTCTTTGCAGGTTTAGCTCTGTAAATAAACGTATGATTTCATAGCATTTGCAGAAACATTATACATATGTTACAAGTACTATAACGAAGTTTACCTAGCGTCCGTAGTGCTTTGTGCAGAAGGCACAAAGAAAAGAGTTTTCAGTGCCTCGCCAACAGGTCCATTTGAACCTAGCTTTAACGTTACGCGATATCCAGCGCCAGCTGCTCCACCACTGAATGCATTTTCGTGTTTTTGCTCGCTTAACCGCACAAGCGACATAACAAATTGCCGAATTTGATCTTTG